CTGCCCGTCCTAGAAAGTTTTACGTGCGGCGGCTGCTGGCGGGGGGTCCTCACCCGGGGTTTATTTATTCCCTTTAGGGAAATAAATACTGAGCCGCGCAAAAAACAAAAGAATCGCAATTCTAGAGCGGAGAGAGGCTTTCAAGCAGAGGCTGGGGGGCGGGTGTGTGTGGCTGGAGGAGAGGCTCAGAGGTGGATTTATATACAAGGGGGTCCGATTTCAGGAGAGGGAAGCTGCAGGGAAGAGAAGCCATATGATAACATTTCCCTTTGCTGCTGCTAAGGGTTTTCTTTTCTTGTTCTTTTTTCCTTTCCCCACGCTCCTTTTGCAGGAAGGACGTTTTTATTAGAAGCGTTTTCTGTTGTGTGCGAATAAATACGTTTTTCAAGGTGAAGAGGATTTAAATGTGTAGACTCCTTGGTCGTTTTTGAAGTGAACCTGGAAAGTGGGAAGAAAATACGTGTTTGGCTTACATGGAAACGTTACTGTGAAAAATCTAGCTGTTAAAAGGCATGAGAAGTGGAACGGTAATAGTAATTTTTAAATGGTCCCTTGCTAATCTGAGAAAACAAGGGTAGGCAGGTAGAAGAAGTCCTAAAAGGCACAAGAGCAATATATACTCAGTCACAAAGAGGACATGATGCAGCCATGTTTGGCAGCATGATGGTGGAGCATGGAGCAAAACCTATTATTGTGGGCTTGTAATAACGGACTGGAAACTGTGCATGCGGTTAATAAATTAATGAGGGGCCTTAAAATTTTTTGGACGAATCTATGATTTGAGGGGAAGAGGGAAACAGAAATGGTGTTTTGAATGGGCAAGTCAAAAACAAGTGATGGAGTGTCATCTGGATTGGAAGGTACTGCAAGATTTCAGTCCTGTGTTCAGGTATTTATAATTGGTATTCAGTGCAATTTAAGATGTGAACATATCTAAGCTTCTAAACTGTCTCACTGTGAAAATGGCTATTTTAGCTGTGCTAATTGCTGTCTCTTCCAGATGCGTTACTGGCCGGTTCTGACAGACAGTTAAGTAAGCATCCCATTTTGATGTGACACCCATGTTGTAGTTAGAGTTGGTGAGAACTGGATAGTAAATTAGGGAGCAAACGCTATATGTTCCAGAGAAAGAGAGGTGATACATACTTTAAAATATTGCAGTGATGCTAAACTGATTCATCAGTATTTAAACACCTCTACTGCATGGAAATTTTTATGGGAAGATCTGTAATTGCCGTTTTTTTCTGCACCTTGGTTGTTTGGAAGGGGGGAGATTAAATAATCTGAATGGAATTAAAGTAATGAGTATGAGTCATTATAAGACTTTAGAAAAATAAGTTCTGAATTCTCAAAAAGGACTTAGTTATTTTTACATTCTTAAGAATGTGCAAACAATACCGAGATCCTTTTGCACAAGAATAAATGAGAAGAGTGCTTATAAATAGTTGCTTCTATTCTATGTAATCTGTGCAGGTGTCTATGCAGTCATATGTTTGTATTCCGTAACAGTTAGGAACTGTTTTTGTAACGGTTTTTGTTTTCAGACGTTTTGTAGGTGAACTACTGTCTTTAGTGTCTTCAGCAGAACCAAAATGCCATTTTTCATGTCTTCAGTGTACTTTGAAAAGTGTAGCAGGTTACTGGGAAAAGGATTGAGCGTTCAGATTGAGTGATTCTAGATGCAAAACTGGTAGGAGTTGCATTATTTTAAATTGGGCAGATCTTCAAAAATGTGTCGGTTCCCAGTGTTCTGGATACCTAGGCCAAAATACTGATTTCTCTCTCCATGCTCTCCCCTTCACAGGGAAAGAAACTGCACAAACAACCTGTGTTTAATATATGCCACTGATGTTCGTTAATGATAGTGTTCTTTAAATAAAGTTCAATTTTTCTTTATCTTAAAACTTATTTAAGTAGTTGGGGAATGGACATCTAAAAGCAGGAACTGTAAAGGACAAATACTTATTTTACAGTGTTACAGGTGTATGTTATGCAACCATTTGATGGATTGGAAGTTGAGGCAGTAACAAGCGTTTCCAACTGTAGCTTAGCAATTTGAAATCTATTGGAAAGGCTAGCATTGTTTGTGCTCGTCTACCAGACTGGGTGCATATTCGTGGTTCACCCCTTTAAAGTTAACAAAGGAAACGTAAAATCAAGCTCGCTCTTTAAAGCATATCGAGCGTTAATGCACAAGAACTTACGTAGAATTTCGGTTCGTTCCTGCCAAAAAAGCTGATTGCTGAAAGCCTCGCACTTCAGACGAAATAAAATCTCTTCAGCAGTATGTAAGCTATTCCCAAGACAGATTTTTAGCCGTCTGCTATGATGTGAGTATATTGTGTTCCTCTGTCTTGCAAATCTGAAGTTCCTATTGAGATTTTACTTGAATCACAACTTCCATTCTGACTTTGGTCTGAGGATTGGCCCTGTGAGTGTAAGTGGACCCAAACCGCTAAATGTGTTAGAGAGACTGCTGCTGCATTTATATCCAGTATCAGGTTAAATGCTCAGGATAATGAGATCAGCTGGGGCCTCCAAGCAATCCAGCGTTACAGAGCAAAACCTGAAGGTCTCGCGTAACAGGCTGTTTGCAAGTTTCCTATATGTAAGTGTGTGAGGGTTGTACAGGATAGTGGCTGTGCTGTGTGCTATGCTGTTTGTGCAGTCTGCCTAACCCCTGCAAAAGTCTTTCTGCCTACCGTACTTGAAACATGCTGGAGGGAGATGTGGTGGGTGAAGGACAAAGTACAGTCATAAGACCCACTCGTTTAGTTTTCACCCCAGTTCAGGAGTAGCTGTAAGCTGTAGGGGCTAATGGGTGGGATATTAGCATAGATACTTACTTCATATTTGATTCTTGAAATGGGTGAGAACATGTTGCTTAAAATTGATATTTTTCTAAATGCTTCTGTTAATCTAAGTGGTAGGTAAAGATTATGTATAGCAGTATACAGACCCCGCTCATAACTTCAGTTAACTATCCTTTGGGGACAGTGGGCTGTAGAAGCATCACCTTTGACCTTTTCCTCTATTGGCTGATGAGGAAAACCGTAGGTATGACACATCCAACTGTTCTGAATGGTCCTTCAGCTAGTAAAATGTTAGCGTGTTTTCATGGTCTACCTACCAATATCCTCTCGTGTGGGATCAAGCCCTTGAATAGCAGGTGGTAGGGACTGCATAGCAAACTAATCTGAAACTAACCTCAGCACTTCAGTTCTTATCCCTTTATGGAAAAGGCTGTGACTGTGTAGTTGGTATATTGAAGGGAATGAACTTTCTTGATGATTACTTTTGGTACTTTGTGTAGTTTGAGGGAGCTACATATACATTTGTGGTTAAGTGGTCCCTCTTTCTCTGTGGAAAAACTCTGGCTCTCCAGAAGAACACTATCACATAGCATTACAAGTGCAGGCAGTAAAGCGATTAAATGTGGGGAGATTCATCTTTTTGTTATGAATGTTTCAGAGGTGCAGGTGCTGTGTGGTTTGTTTGTTTGTTTGTTTGTTTTTTTAAAAACCAAAGGCCAAGATTCGGGGATGGGGGGGACACGATTTAATTAAGATCTCCTTTGAGCTTTGTAAAAGGCTGGATGTCTGCTACCAGCTGTCCTTTCAACCGGTTAGAAGGTGAATATTTTGTATTTGCTTAATGTGACACTTTAAGCAAAGGGCTTTGTTGGCTAACTCTTCACATGTCTGATATTTTGGGGGCTGTGCCTTGTGTTTTTAGAGTGTTCAGAGATGGTTTAATACGCAAAATGCATTTTGCGGGTATGGTTATATTGTTATATGAAGTTTCCATTTATAAATGTGAATTATTTCTAATGAAAAGCTTAGAGAGTATTTTCCGTGTTAGTAATTTCTTAAGTCAGAGCGTTACAACAAAAGGGATTCTTGTAGACCGTGTTCTGTTAACTATGCCCTCATTGTCAGACAATGAAACATTGGTGCAACTGAGAACTTGAAGGTGCACTTCCTATCTGTAACTGATATCATTTCCTCTTTCAGTACTTAGGTCTCTATTTCATCAACAGAATTTGCCTTTAAGCAGCTGTAATCTTAAATTTCCTGAATTTGCTTGAATGCACTGTTGTTCTTTAATAGTACTTGTGATATATGGGTGTTACGTATAGTGATGACTCGCATTCTGAAACTGTCAGGAATACTTAGGTGTTTCTGACCTTGATGGTATTACGTAGTCTTGTTATCTGGGCGCTGTAGTCAAAAGTGATCGTCAGTGAAGGCTCTGTTCTTGTCAGCTTGTTCCCTACAAGAGGATCTGCCGAGCTAGGTTTGATGTATTGGTTCTTGTCTTAAGCCAACATCTAGTTTCATTGTATGTACTGCTGTAGCTCATTGCATAAAACTAAATCTTTGTTCCATGCTCTCCCCCTGATGCACGTGCAGACGCACACACACTTGCACTTGCAGACTCACACACACATGCAGTTGTTGTTTTGGGGTGTTATCTGTTGCGCTCCATGAGCGAAAGGAGAAGAAACTGGTTTCTGATGGGTCAAGGGCACAGATTAAAAGTATTCGCTCTTGTATGCTAAATCACAACTTAACTCTGATTATGTGTGGTGAGAGGGTTTCCTTTATATAAGGTGATGGGCCTAATCTCCAAAAGATGATTGGATGAACTGTAAAAGATCCTCTTTTAAGTGGTGTCAAATGCTCTTCCAAAAAGTGAGTTTTAATACAAATTGGCTCCAAATTGGTGCAACCTATTTGGCATCATTCAGACGACTCTTAGAGGCAGAATTTTGCATGCCTGACTCCTTTCCCTCTGCATTGGGTAGAATTTTGGTTCTATTTAGTAACATGTTAAAAATTTTTGTGTGTTTCAAAGGGGTTGGAATTTCACCCACAAAAGTATACTCCCAGAGTAAGGTACTGAAAGACAAATACAGTGTGAGGTTGAAAAAAAAATTGAGGTCAGGATTAAATGCATCATGTTTATAATTTTGGCTTTCTTGTTTATTCTAAGGCCCTTTGTAAAAGTCGTATACAGAATGCTGGAGATGTGCACCTCAAAGCAAAATAAACTTTTAATTAGCTAAGTATTCTATATAGTTATTTGGACAGTTATGAGGTGTCAAAAATGTCTGACGCTAACATCTTGCTCTTATTCTGCAGTGGATCACAGGCTGTTTTAAGTGGTCAACCTGTATACGCGCATTACTACTGAGTGAGAGTGTATTATTTATAGAAATGGTGAATCATTACACGGTGTCTTAATTCTGCAGTGCACACCTTCATGTATTTGCCCAGCTCAGGTGGTATTTCAGGCTGCAGCAGCAAGTATCTATCTGTGTTCTAAAATTAATGCTGTTATAGTCCTTTTCCTTAGCTTAAAAGCAGTTGATTTTTAAAAATTAAAAAAAAAAAAAAGTGAGAGAACTCCCTTGCTGCTCTTGGAAGTGAGAGCTGGGCTGTAAGAGAACCGGGTTAACTGTGTGAGCCCCCTGGATAGACCCCCTTGGGAATCTTTCTGCTCAGTGTCTGGAATTACCTTCTGG